ACTCTCTCCGTGACTCCCTTGTCCGCTCCACACTCCCCTCCAGCTCCACCACACCCGGCACTTTTCCCTGCAACCGCAGGAAGTGCTACACCTGCCCCCATACCTCCTCCCTCACCCCCATCCCAGGCCCCAAGAAGACTTTCCACATCAAGCAGATGTTCACCTGCACATCTGCCAATGTGGTATACTGCATCCGCTGTACCCGGTGTGGCTTCCTCTACATCGGGGAAACCAAGCGGAGACTCGGGGACCGCTTTGCAGAACACCTACGCTCGGTTCGCAACAAACAACTGCACCTCCCAGTCGCGAACCATTTCAACTCCCCCTCCCATTCCTCAGACGACATGTCCATCCTGGGCCTCCTGCAGTGCCACAACGATGCCACCCGAAGGTTGCAGGAACAGCAACTCATATTCCGCTTGGGAACCCTGCAGCCCAATGGTATCAATGTGGATTTCACAAGTTTCAAAATCTCCCCTCCCCCTACCGCATCCCAAAACCAGTCCAGCTCGTCCCTGCCTCCCTAACCTGTTCTTCCTCCCACCTATCCCCTCCTCCCACCTCAAGCCGCACCTCCATCTCCTACCGACCAACCTCATCCCGCCCCCTTGACCTGTCCGTCCTCCCTGGACTGACCTATCCCCTTCCTAACTCCCTACCTACACTCACCTTTACTGGCTCCATCCCCGCCTCTTCGACCTGTTTGTTTCCTCTCCACCTATCCTCTCCTCTATCCCTCTTCTATCCGCCTCCCACTCTCTCCCTATTTATTTCAAAACCCCCTTCCCCTCCCCCTTTTCTGATGAAGGGTCTAGGCCCGAAACGTCAGCCTCTCTGCTCCTATGATGCTGCTTGGCCTGCTGTGTTCATCCAGCCCTGCACCTTGTTGTCTCGGATTCTCCAGCATCTGCAGTTCCTACTATCTCTGTATAAAAAGGAGCACAGCTTACACCCAAATTGGAAGTGGACTAATACTCTGGTGGTGGGGGAAGGCTTTGCTAAACCTACATGGGAGGATTTAAACTAGTAAGAGGGAGGGCGTCTGTCCATCATGAACAAACAAAGGCACAACTGAAATTAAAGTGCATTTTGAATGAAAGAGGCCTAAACAGGTAAGGCAGATGAACTCCATGTACGGTTGGCAACATGGGACTCTGATATAGCAATTGCAGAGAGGTGGCTCAGGGATTGACAGGACTGGCAGCTTATGCTCCAGAGTATAGATGCTATAGGAAGCATGGTGTGGAGAGAGAGGGGGAAGTGGCATTTTGATTAGGGATAACATTAGAGCCTTACTTAGGGAAGATATTCCAGGGAGTACATCCAGTGAAGTTACTTGGGTGAAACTGAAATAAGGGATGATCACCTTGTTGATATTGTACTGAAGACAAAAAGTGGAAAGTTGAGACATTTAAAGGAGACCTTATCTGTAAGAACAGGATGGTAATAGGGGATTTTAATTTTCCAAACATTGACAGGGACTGCCAGTGTTAAGGGCTTGGAGGGAGAGGAATTTGTTCAGTACAGAAAATTCTTCTACAGTAGGTGGATGTGCTGACTAGAGAAAGACAAAGCTGGATTTACTCTTGGGAAAGAAAGCAGGGCATTTGATAGAAGTGGTGTCAGTGGAGGAGCACTGTGGGGCCAGTGATAAGCCTATTAGTTTTTAAAATTGTGATGAAAAGGATAGACCCAATCTATAAAATTAGAGATCTAAGTTGGAGGAAGGCAAATTCTGATGGTATGGGCAGGAACTTTCACAAAGTTGATTAGCAGGGTGGCTGGAAAGTGGAAAGCTTTCAAAAAAGTCCACATGTAGAATCTAGTATGTAGCTGCAAGGTTGAAGGACAAGGCTGGTAGGTCAAGGGAATGCAAGACGACTAGGGGTGGTGTTTCGGGTCAAGGAAAGGAGAAAAAAGGAAGCTTGTCAGGTATGTAAGAGCAGAAAGTGAGTGAATCCTGAATACAAGACAGTAGGAGTATGCTTAAGAGGAAAATCAAGAGCAAAGAGGGGACATGACAGCTTTGGCAAATAGGCTTAAGGAGAATCAAAGGGATGCTACAAATACACCAAGGACAAAAAAGGGTAACAAGGGATAGAATAGGCCCCTTTAAAGACCAGCAAGGCCACCTACACATGGAACTACAGGAGATGGGGGAAAAATGTGAAATGTATTTTGCATCAGTGTTTACTGTGGAAAGGAATATGGAAGATAGAGAACTTGGGCCAATAAGTATGGAGATCTTTCAAGGTGCTACTATTAAGGGGTGTTGCTGGACATTCTTTAAAAAAAAGGTGAAGTGGTATTTGGTACACTTGCCTTTATTGGTCAGTGCATGGTGTTTAGGAGTTAGGTCACAACTACACAGGACATTGGTGAGGCCACTATTGGAATGTGTGCAATCCTGGTCTCCTTGCTGGAGGAAGCATATTGCTAAACTTGAAGGGTTCAGAAAAGATTCAAGATATTGCCAGGGTTGGAGGGTTTGAGCTGTAGGGAGAGGCTGAAGCTGTTTTCCCTGGAGCAGAGGTTGAAGGGTGATCTTAGAGCTTTATAAAAATCATAAGGGGGATGGATAGGGTGAATAGCCAGAGTCTTTTCCCAAGGTAGAGTCCAAAACTAGAGGGCATAGGTTTAAGGTGAGAGGGGAAAGATTTAAAGGGGACCTAAGGGGTAACATTTTCAGAGGGTGGTGCATATATGGAATGAACTGCCAGTGGAAGTAGTGGAGGCTGGTACAATTATGACATTTAAAAAGGCATCTGGATAGGTATATGAATAGGAAAGAGTTAGAGGGATATGGGCCAAATGGGACTAGATTTATTTAGGATATCTGGTTGGCATGGATGAGTTGGACTAAAGGGTCTGTTTCCATGCTATATATTTAACTACAGAGAACACCCACCCAATTAACCATAACCAGCTACCCCTATTTGGAGGAAGGAAATGGACTAGAATGGGTCTTCAAAATACTGACAAGCCTTTTGTGGCTAGTAATGCATGGACTAAGCCTTACCAAACCCTACAAAAAAGGTTGGTTGCAGGTGCCCTGTAGAGCCTTATAGTCAGGAAATTAAAAAAGTGTGACTCAGAATGAAAACCATACCTTCTATACCAATCTGTGGGACATTGGCATTAGTGCTGGGGGTAGGATTGGATTTATTATCTTGTGTACCTGGATACAGGTGACAGGTTTTGTTTTGGTGTCCAGCACAGGCAGAATCATACCATACAAAGTGCATCAGGGTAATAGAATGGAGCAAAGAATACAAAGTTACTGCTGCAAAGAAGATGCACAAACAGCAAGATCAACATTAAAATTTAAAAAAGAAGAAGACACTGCAAAGGTATGAGGGCAAAAGGGGGCTAAGGTGCACCAAACCCCACAATGAACAGATGTTTAAGGATACATCAGGGCAAAAGATTAAAGTCAAATTAAAAGAAGGATACCACCAAATTGTTTCTTTCAAAAAGAAAGATTAGTGGTTTAAAAACCCAGTCCAATCCTCTGGCATAAAACATGCCAAAAGCACACAATGGTAAACTAAAAAAGTTAGCTAAGATTTTGTAAGATGGCATAATTTCAGTAAGAGGTTATATTTAAGAAAAGAGAAAATGTTAGAGGGTATCTGCACTTAACATGCCAAGTATATTCACAAGTTTAAAGATCTGAGAGAGTGGTATTAGGAAGAGGCAGGTGAGTAAGTTAGACATTTAGACAAGCCATTAATTCATTGAATGCCAGAACAGACTGAATGGGCCAAATGGCCCATTGTTCCTGGGTTGCCTGCCTGAATGAGTTCAGTGGAATATCAGAAACAGCTGAACACCATCCAGGACAAAGCAAAGCATCACTGTGGCTCAGTGGGTAGCACCCTGGCCAAAGAACCCAGAGCCTTGTGTTCAAATCCCACTCCAAACTATGATCACAGGAACATAGCTCTATGGTCTTGTAAATGAAGTGTGAATTCGTTTATCAATTTAACATTTGATTGACACCTATTTAACACCTTCAATATCAACTCCCTTCACCATCTCCAACATTTCAGTGTTGGAGTTGTTGCAGGACATTTCCTAATACTTGGTGACCTCTACTTTGGAGAAGGGGTAACACTTGCACAGGAACACCATTTGCCAGTTCCCTCTAAACCACACCATCCTGATTTGGAACTATCACCATTCTTTAGTTGAAAAGAAAGTCAACATCCCCACAAATTCTCAACACCATGCACACCCTCAATAAAAAGTACAGGTGTAGCAGCTCACTATCACCACCTCCATTGCCAGCTTAAATGGAGACCCACACGCTAATGGAGCAAAACAGACTTAGTGAAAAACGTGACCATTTTACTTCTAGCAGACTTCAAGACAGCAATTCTAATTAAACCCATGTTAGTGCTAAAGCCAAGATTTTTAAAATCTTGGTTCTACAAGATATTGCAGAAAAACATGAAGTCATCTTGCCAATTTAACTACCTCTAGTTGAGATAAATATGGAATTGCCATATAGTTATCCTGCCCTTGTTACAAATTCCATTTAATAACAAACCAGGAAGAGGCTGATCAACTATTGTTTTCAGATTCTTGCTTGTTCCTAGTTTCCCCACTCATACCTCTTTTGGACAGAATCTTCTCACTTTTCAGAGAAAGAAAGAGACAGCCTGACAGTAGAGAACACATCAAGGAATCGTCCCACATATCCATTTATAAAGCCCTTCCCTTGAAATTTCTAGTAAGATTCTTGGATCGTTACCTGCTCACTTTGCTCATTGGGGCAGGATGGAAGGGAGCAAGGAAAGTTGCTATTGATTGAAATAGTGTCACTCAAGTTGCTTGGAGATCAGCATTAAACTTGCCACTGGGGATTGGAGTCACTCCATAGAATCCTCCATCCACTGCAGTCCCATTTTATCAGAGAATCCCTACAGCTTGGGAGCAGGCCATTTGGCCCATCAAGTTTACACTGACCTTCCGAACAGCATCCCCCCAGAAACTCTGCATTTCCCACAGCTAATGTCCTTAACCTACACAGCCCTGGACACTAGGAGTATTTTTTGCATGGCCAAACCACAGCCTGCACAACTTTGGGCTGCAGGAAACTGGAACACCTGGAGGAAACCCAGGGATGTGGGGAGAATGTGCCTGGAGTTTGCAGAGTCCTCCATGGGTGGGAGGAAACTCAGGTCCCTAGTGCTGTGAAGAGCAATGCTAACTGAGCCACCATGCCATCCCGTTTTGAAAGCAGCAGCGGTTGAATGCAGCATTCCCTCATTAGTGCACTGAAACATCAACCTCATACTCAGAGCCCTCACTGACCTTGGAGATTTATCCTTAGGGTTTGTGTAAGCAGAAATTTTTGCCATTTTAATCTGCATCAAATTATAGATACATAATCAAAATCTTACCTGAGGAATATATTTCACCAGCACAATGCCAAGTTTGATGTAGGAGAAGTAATAGACAAGTTGAAGCCATGTTATTCGATGGACTAATGCCATGATAAAGGTGACAAGAGCACACAGCCATGAACCCACCACAAGTAGAGTAGCAATCTTGGATACTTTCTGTGACCCTCGCTGCATCAGAGCAAATAAAGACAATGGATCAGTAATAAGCATTTTAGAGAATATTGTTACAGAGTGCTGTTGTAAAAGTTTACTACAGAGCCATGTGGGATGCTGGGATAGGTGACAAGGATTTGCACATCTTGAACTGGAGGGGAACTCTACAGATACAGAACTTCCTGAATTTATGAATTACACAAAGTGGTCAAAACTAATAATCCCAATTTCTTCCACTTGTCCCACATCTTTGATATTTGAAGTGTTGTCCAATTTTATTGAAAGGTTTAGTGTTTCCAGCCTCCACTACCTTCCCAGGTAGTATATTCCAGATTCTCACCACTGGCAGAGTAAAAAACTCAAATCCCTTCTGAATCTCCTGCCCTTTAGGGTGAAGGTATGCCACCTTGTGATTGACCCCTCAACCAAGGAGGGCAGCTGCTCTATTTATCCTATTCATACACCTGTCTTCTCTACTCAAAGAAAACAATCCAAGCCTAGTCTCTTATAGCTGAATTTCTCCATCCCAGGCAACATCCTGGTGAGCTTCCTCTGTATCACACTACTCTATTACATCCTTCCTGTAGTGAGGTGACCAGAACTGCACACAGTACTCTAGTCATGGCCTGACCAACACCCTGTACAGCTCCAATATTATCTCCTTGCTCTTGTACTCTGCCACAGCTGATGAAAGAAAGTGTTCCATATGCCTTAACTATCCTACTTGTTTGCTGACTTCAGGGATGTAATTCTCCCAAGATCCCTCCGTTCCTAAGCTACCCAGTGTTCTGCCATTCATTAAACACTCCCTCATCTCATTTTTCTTCCAAAGTACATTACCTTGCACTTTTCAGGGTTAAATATCATGCACCACTGGTCTGCTCATCTCCCCAGCCCAACTACAATCTTCTCATTTCCTACAACCATCTTTGCTACTAACTGCTACCATTTTGGCATTTTCAGATTTGCTTAACTTTCCTGCACTTGTTATTGTTTATGTACACACAAACAATAAGAAAGGGTCCTGTATTGATCCTTGTGGTATCTTGGACACTGGCCTCCGGTTCAAACAGCCTATACCACTACCCGTTGTCCTGAGGAAGGGAGTTGGATTCATCTTGCCAAGCTTCTCAAAATTCCATGTTGTTTAACCTTCAGTTTTCCATGTGGGACCTTGTCTAAAGCTTTGACAAAATCCATGAACTACAACAAACTTCCTTCATCCACACAATTGTATTTAAGAAAAATTCTAACCAACTTGCTAGACATTGACCTCCCTCTGACAAAGCTATGCTGACTATCCCTAATTAACCCATGTCTTTCCAAGTTGGTATTAATTCACTCCTTCAATTTTCTAATGGTTTCCCTACCACTTAATGAGAGACTCATTGGCCTGTAAATTCCTGGTTCAACTGTACCACCCCTTTAAAGAAAAAAGGGAAGCACATTGGCTGCAGGGGAAGTGCCAGGGAGGAATTAAAAAATTGTCTTCAAGCCACTGGAATCTCCTGCCTCCCCTCACAGCAGCATGGGATGCAACTCATCCAGCCCAGGGTTTGTCTGCTTCTAAAAGCTAGAGCCTCCATTACCCATGGGAAACTGGAAATTCCTCAGTCTCTTCCTGACTTCTCTACCAACCTTTAACACCCTTTCAATATCCTGCTGCTTCAGTTTGCCCCCTAATCTCTCCAGTTAACTGCTTCCCTTTAATATGCTAAAAACACTTAGGATTCTCCTTAATCCTGTTCACAAGTCCTTTATCATGCTCCCTTCTTGCTCCAACTGCTTTCTTAGGTTCCTTCCTGTACATCCTTTATTCTGGATCTGAACTGCTCCTTTTGGACTTGCTAAGGAAGCCTTTTCCTCATTCAGTCCCAAATTAACCCAGATATCCAGGGTTCTTTGAATTTCTTGTACCCTACAGAGGGAAATGCAAGAGCATGTTGTACCTGTACTCTCCCCAGCTCCTTTATTAATGTCCCCTATTGGTCTGCTCCAGACTTATTGGAAAGAAGCTGTTCCCAGATCCTGCTTTGTTTAAATAAATCTGCCTTCCCCAATCTAAAGCTTTCTTTCCTTGTGGTATGGTTCAAATTCCATCTGGACATGATTGCTAATCACCTAAAGTGTTCCCTCACTGCCACATGGAACATTTATCTGGCTTCTTTCCCAGAGAGATCCAGCTGTGCACTGTCCCTGGTTGGGCCTTCTGTGTTGATGAAAAAAATCTCCCTTGGATACAATAAAGAAATCTAACCCCCTCAACCCTCAAGACCACAACTATCCCAATTTATGTTGGGAAAGCTGAAATCCCCTAGTATATTACTAGATTACTTTTACACACCTGAAACATCTACATATTTGCTGGTCTATTTCCCACTGACTCTTTGGGGGCCTATAATGCACTCCCAGTAAAGTAGTTGACCCCCCACCAACATTCTCAAGTTCTACCCACAAAGCCTCATTTGAGAGCTCCAAGGGTTAGGGCCAGTACAGTGGCTCAATAGTTAGCACTGCTGCCTCAGTGCCAGGGAAGCAGGTTTGATCCCAGCCTTGGGTAACTATGTTGAGTTTGCACATGGTGTCTGCATGTGTTTCCTCCAGGTGCTCTGGTTTCCTGGAAAGATGTGCAGGTTAGGTGGATTGGCCATGCTAATTTGCCCATAGTGACTAGGGATATGTAGGTTAGGCAGATTAGCTGTGGGAAATCCAAGGATAAAAGGTGGAGGGGTGAGTGGTGAGTCTGGGTGGGATACTCTTTGGAGGGGAAGTGTGGATTTGTTGGACCAAATGGCCTGTTTTCACACTGTAGGATTTAGGATATGATTCTATGATCTCACTTTATTACAGTAGGAACAGTTGTAGAATTCCAAGCAAAGCCATTCAAATGTGATCTGACTTTATTGCAGTCAGACTAAAACTGCTCCTTGGATGTCTCCAATATAAAAAAGTGGTTTGTGTAGAGACAGCTGTTTGTGAAGCCAAATGGTGAAGACACTTGGAGATAGGTAACCCAAGTTAAAAACAAAATTGATCAGAAATCAGATCTATAGCACAGAAAAGTTCCTGCAACACATTTAGTGAAAGACAGCCACCCAACTATTCTAATCCCATTTTCTAGCACTTGGCCCATAAGCCTTGGTAAAACAAGTGCATTTTGAAATATTTAATATGTGAGGGTTTCAGCATCTAGCACCCTTACAGACAGGGAGTTACAGATTCCCATCAGTTTGTGCCACTGCTATAGTGTTACCTCATAGATGAGGCACTGAAAGATTGTAAACGTTGTTAATAATATAGCGTGAATGCTGAAAAAGACATCGTTTGCTTCCACTGGGTTCACACCATTTGGGTTACGCTCCAGAAATTGTTTCTGCAAAGAGAATTGATTAATCAGTGACAAATCTGGAAGAACAGCTTGCTGACATTAAAAAAGGAACATTTTAACCTGGACAGCTAAATCAAACATGGCCATAGAGAGACTGGTTTAACTGGGTCCTGTGGCTATCTGGTACTGTATCAGAACAAAGACTACCCCAGAAATCTTGCCTTACACTTGGTTTATCTTCATACCACCATCTCTTGCTTGCTCACTAGATTACAACACTAAAAACCTTAGTTCTGTTCATAGTGGAGTGTACCAACATAGCAACAGTGTCATATCAATAGCTCAGCATGGGTTTTTATACAAAGTTGGAAATCAGATCTACTGGGGGCATCAGTGACTCTAAACATTAGCCAAAGAAAGTTGAACCCAAGACACATACCACAATAGTTCTGCAGGCCAAACTGAAGACCCATACAAGAGTGAGAAATTGTACTTTCTAACAGTGACGTGTAGCACAGACAATGACCACCCCCCCTAAAAAAAACTGCCATTTCTATTCATGCCCTAACAATTTAAGGCTGCCAAGCAATTAGAAACATCACCTTAATGTTTGGAATCCAGAAAAGGCTGATGTTAAACACTCCATACGCCAAGTGTCCAGTCACATTCAGTGCCAGAAAGTCAAAATTCAATCCAATCACACTGTTTAGCAAAGGAAAAAAGAACAGATCAGTCCAAAATCCCAGGTAGTCTCTGTAGAAAGGAAAACTGCTTTATTCTCTTGGATGAATCTGTCAGAAGAGGGATCACACTATTGAACACAATGCATGATTGATCTTAACAGGTTTTAGAGCTAGAGTCACACAGCATAGAAACAGACCCTTTGGCCCAACCAGTCCATGTGGACCATAATCCAACAAACAATAGCCCTATCCTTTTGCATTTGGTCCAAATCCCTCCAAACCTCTCAGTAAAGTACTTATCCAAATGTTTTTAACTATACCTACTTAAAATTGTCCCTATCTTTAAAGATCTTTCCTTGCAGCTTAGAAATATGCCTCCAGTCTTGAAATCCCCATCTTAGGGAAAGACACCCAAGTCTCCCTATCTATATTCATGATTTTGTAACCCTCTATAAAATGTCCCATCAAGTTCCTACAATCCAGCAAAAGGTCCCAGCTTGTTTTTGTAACTCAAACCCCACCCTGTTCCTGGTAACACCCTAGTAAGTTTCTTCTAAACTCTCCAGCTTCATACTATCCTTCCTATAAGGATATCTGCACACTTCAAACCTGAAAGTTCACATTGTCTGCTGCTTGATCATATTTGTGATTCAGCACTTCTAAAGCAGTTGTTATTTTAAGTGCAATGAACAGTTACAGGGTCAGAATGCAAAAACTTAAGGTTGCAGTGCAATGGGGATTTGATATTCAGTTTGGTATTAGCAGGTATTGAAAACCAACCAACATTCAACAAAGTGAGCAGGAGCTAGCAACAGCTGTTACATGCATCTTGGAGAATTATTGGATTGAATCCAATGAATCTTCGTTACAACCATAAAACCTTAGACTCTGTCTCTGAACTTTTGACTAAGCCAAGTCAGGCTGATAATGGAACTAAGCATGGAATTCACTAACTGAAATATTTCTTGTGAACCTCAGTGATGCCTTTGAAGTCCAGCTTTTTGAAGCTGCCCTAAAGAGAAGAGTCAAAAGAAGCTACTACCTCAGCAAGAGGGGTTCTGGATTAGAAAAGCAGATCAAGATTTTGGGGGAAGAAGAGAATTGGGTTAGAACAGTCATGATTGACTGGCTGGGCTCCAGATCTAATGGATAAAACATCACCTGTTTGCACTCCAGACTCTGGACACTAGTCAAGGGAATGTTTCTATTTTACCCCTTACTGAAATACAAGTTGAAAGTCACTTGCAACCCTGGGTGGTGTCACTGGGCTAGTATGCTGTGAAGCTCACATGGTCAGGAAGGCCTATTAAAAGACCACTCTACATTAAAGCCTGAAAGTGCTGTAGATTAGCCAATATTACAAGGAACTAGGATAGAGAATTTCAGTCAACCTATAGTTAAACATCTTGAAATTAACTGTTCACCTAACAGCAGTGCTACTAGTATCAATGTAATTATTTTGTCTAGTCTCCAACTGGAATTCCAGTTGGAGACAGGATCATTTCTGGTGGGAGAATAGTCTTTTTGTTTAATTATTCCTCTTGTAAAGGGAAACACTTGAGCTAAGTTGACTTGTTTAAAAAAAAATCCATTTGCTTTGGAAGAAATTCATCCTTAAATCTTGTCAAGAAAAACAGGAACTGTTGGAGGTGGGGGAGGCAGTTCATGTTTCTTCACCTGGGAGGAAAGTTTGGGGTTCTCCACATGGAACACTGTCCTAAGTGGAGGAATCTTACCCAGGGACTGTTTGAATACAGCTGTAGGATTGTTGTAGATGTTGATGTAAGGAGTTACAAAGTTAAACTAAAACAGCTGCATTCAGAAGCAATGAGAACACAATACTGAGGAGCAGGACTGCAGTGAAGTGTAATCCCAGTCAGCACCACAAGGATTGCCTGCAGTGAAGACAATTGCATATAATCCAAAAACAAAAAGGACATCTGAACCTTTTGTTCTAAAAAACAGAGTGGGGACTGGTACTTGTATACAGTTTAACTGTTGTTACCAGGAGTTTCAGGTCAGTGACAATTATACCACATTCTAAATTTTAAAAAAAGGTGTACCAAGTTGTATGCTGCTGTGCATTAGTGAACAATATCTAGAATGTTTTTGTTGGACTGCAGTAGGTCTAATAACCAGAAGACTGACTATTAAATTCTATATTAACTGATCAAGTGCATTCATTCAGGTTTATTCTCCTGGAGAATCATGTGGAAGGAGGACTTTGTTAACCCTTGGTGTTTTACCTAACACAAGCCATTAGAGAAACCAGTCAACAGCTAATATGGACTTTGACCCAGTTGTTTACTCTTGTGCAGAAGGCCCTCCAAACTCAGATGCTGACAGATGTATTGAAGTGAAGGAAAGGTGGAATTGGCAGCATATCCTGCAACCCAGTTATGAGCATTGAGAATTGCAGAGTTACTAGAGTCAATCACATTCTAGAACAAGCTTAGCACAGGCTGAACACATACTTCATATTGAATAGCATTGTAGAAACTCAACAGGTCTGACAACAATGTCAACTCTGATAGGACTCGAGATTAATGGTGTTTCCCTCTCCACATATGTGCCAGACTCTGGTTTCTTCAGTGGTGTTTGACTAACACCTAGCATTTCACTGTATTTTTCTTTAGGAGGTCTGCAATATGGAAGCAGTGTGATTTTCTGCAAATAATCACCATTTACATTTTACCTCCTCCGCCGCCAGTTTTCAATAACCTGTGGGTAGAAGGAGATGGACCAGGCCACGAAGTAAATCCATCCAATCACTTGGTTTATTATCACCAGAGCATTGCTGTGTACCACTAGAAATCGCATTTTAACTGGAGCCCTGCAAAATAATTCAGGCCATTAGGCTGGCTCAGGAAAAATTAAGTTACATACAAATTAGTGTAAAAACAGGACCCTGAAGCATAGGCTTGTTTAACTATTCAATGAAAGCTTCTGACTTAAATCTCAACTTAAGGGATTGAGGGGTGGAAGAAGTTGGCAGGCAGATGATATTTGGAAGTTGTTAGTCTTTGTTGGAGCCAGCTGAGAAGGTTCATGAGGGTGAGCCCCGATATGGATGGATTGTTTTTTAGACAAGGATTAAAGAGGTTGGGACTCTACTCATTGGAGTTTAGAACACATGATCTCTGAAAAAAAATATCGATTCCAAATGCCCTTGTAGGGTAAATACTGAGGATGTTTCCCTTTCTGGGAGAGTCTAGGAGCAGAGAGCATAGCCTCAGGATAAGGGACACCAATAAGACAGACAAAACAATATCTACTCAAAAGGGTAGAGGGTCTTGAAACTCCTTGTCCCCTCAGCTCAGAGAGTCCTTGTGCATATTTAAGGCTGAGAGAGATTCTTGATTAGTAGAGAAAGCAAGGATAATGGGAAAAATGCAGGGAAGTGGACTTGGTGTTAGATCAGCCACAATCCCATTGAATGGCAGGAGAAGCTGAACTGCCTAATCCTGTAGTATTTATATAGTTATCATATTGCACCATCATGTTAGAGACAAGATTGTTGAATTTAGTTATCAAGTCACTGAACTTTAATTCTGCTTTCTCTCCACAGATGCTGCCAGACCTTAGAGTCCCTTCAATTTGTTACTTTTCATCTCCCTCTGGGAGAAACTAACCCAAATTTCGAGAGCTCTTACTACCAAAAAAGGCTTAAACCTGATTCATTATGAAGTTTTACAGCTAGAAGAATTCATAATAAAGAAGTGGTTAAAACTTGGGCACTTCCTAATCAGAGTGATGACAGTACTGACGGGCAAGAAATGATTCAAAGTTGCAAGTGTTTAGAGCAACAGCCCAACCTGGAGATAAGTTCATGTACCTGATCAGTTTGCTGCTGTTGGTCTGGAGGTAGGTAGTCACTTGGCCAACTTCAACTCCTCGAATGGTGAAACTTGTTGAGTTTACATCTTTTGGAAACCTTATCTGAACAGAAAATTCCAGTTATCTTGAGATTAGGAAGGAAACCAAACTCCTGATCAGTGATAGTAGGAACTGCAGATGCTGGAGAATCCGAGACAAGGTGCAGAGCTAGATGAACACAGCAGGACAAGCAGCATCATAGGAGCAGAAAGGCTGGCGTTTTGGGCCTAGACCCTTCATCCAGCTCTGCACCTTGTTGTCTCCTGATCACATAGGTATGTTTTGCAATGAGCTTCAGGTAAAGAATGCTAAAGATTAGGGTCAGTCCAGCAGTCAGTAGTTTAAAAAGGTAGAATTTAGAGATTGAATCAGATAGTAGGAACTGCAGATGCTGGAGAATCCGAGACAACAAGGTGCAGGGCTGGACGAACACAGCAGGCCAAGCAGCATCATAGGAGCAGAGATTTAGAGATTGTTATTTTATCAGGGGAGAGTGTATTTTAAATATTAGAACAGGAATGAACAGATTGACAAGGACAGCCAATGAACTGGATACATGAAGGATGTTAGCAACCAGGTTTGGATGAGCAGTATGTGCAGAAGATGGGCCAGTATTCAATAATAGAATCAATAGGGGAGCAAGGAAGTTTAGCAAAAAGAAAAAGACAAGAGCACAAGGATGCAAGTAGAAAGGGTCAGATTGTTAATGATGACTCATACCAAGACTTAGTATGGAAATTGTGACAAAGACCAATCAACTGGGGAAAACATGGTTTATTTGTCAGAGAAGCTTTAGCATAGGGTGCAGATGAAGTAAAGCTTGGCAGTGAAGGGTCACTAGACTCAAATTGTCAGTTCTTTTCATGGATGCTGCCCCCTGCTGAGTTTCACCAGCAATTTCAGCTTTTGTTTAAAATCCCAATGAAACCATGTCAGCGATGCTGGCAGTCATGTCTGCAGCACATCCTGTCAGGAATGTTCCACTTTGTTCATGGAGTAGAGCTGATGTGACAAACACTACACAACATTCTGTCAAGTCTTGAGATTTCCTAGTCCCTAACCCCACGTTTCCTACACTACATGCCAACAGGCTACAGCAGAAAGGATGAGACGTTTAACAAGACTGCATTGTAAAACCAGACCAGGATCATTTTCAAGAGAAACTCATGGTTGAGCAGCATGCTAATAAGATGTTCTTAGTGAGTCACCAGCTTCAGAATCCCTGCTTCCTGACACTAAATACTCAAACTTTTGTAGGAGACAGTTGGCCTAAAAAGTCAATATTGACCAGCACAGCTACATTTATTGTATAACTGAGGAGCTGGCCAGCTATAAATATTGTGGCCATCTATAGTTAAAACAGCTAACTTCAGGTTTGGTCAGTCAGGTACCTTCATCATAAAAAGATAATCAGTTACTTGTAAGTGTCACATTACAGATTACATCAGTTGTCACTCAAATACATTGCTTCATCTGCCAAGGCACCTGGTTCATTCTTCACCACCTGGTATTACCAATGCAACCACTGGTAATGAGGGCTTAGTGCTACCCAGAAGCACCAAGTAGAACCCAATGGGAGATCTTACAGCCTATGTAAAGGCTAGAACAGGAGGAGTTCCCATGAGTTTCCCACAATCTTATTCTGCCTTTTGTAAAGAGCAGCCCTGGCCAGCCCCAAAGGGATGCCAGTCTGATTTCTCCTTGCTCTTTCCCTTAGTTAGCAGCACCTTGCCTTTATATCCGACAGTCCTTCGGCTCAGAAATCAGCTACAAATTCCAATTACTTATATTTCAGCAATGTGTAAATTAAACTCAGGCAACCAGTTTGTGAAACATAACTAGATCACTCACTGGCTGCAAAGAGATATTGTGGACCCATGTTAGTGAACAATCTCATGATTATCTGCTGAAGAGTCTCCAGCCAAAAATTCAAGATTTGGTTCCAACATTTCCAGAAGGTGGATTATTTACTTTGTAGGCATTCTGTGATTCAGTGGGACATTCATCCTATCAAGTCCACACTAAACTTCTGAAGAGCATCCCACCCAGACCACCCCCCAACCCTATCCCTGTAACTCTGCATTTCCCCATAGCTAATCCACCTAGCCTACACATCCCTGCACACCATGGACAATTTAGCATGGCCAATCCACCTGGCCTGCAAGTCTTTGTCCATGTAGGTTTCTTCCTACAGTCCATGGAGAAGATGAAAACTCCAGACAGATGCCCAAGGGTGGAATTGAACCCAGGTTCCTAGTGCTGTAAGGCAGCAGTGCTGCCACCATGCAACCCTTTTGTCACCACATTTTTGCACTGAAGAAAGTTTTTACTTACTTGCTCAGGTAGTTGAACAATACAAGTTTGTTTTGATGAGAAGCTCACGTTGAATGTAATGATTATAGTCTCCTGCAAGGGTGCACTGGGAGAGATGGACAAAACCAAACCATTGTTACTAGGAGCCATACCATGTGCTTGTAAAAATAGCCAGTTAAAAACTAAAAAAAAAAACACTTGCTCCTAGGTGCTTTAGGATTGCAAGTGGCACCTTAGCAGGACCTACCTCAAAGTAATATCGATATCCTTCACACTGTTGATTTCCAGGCTAACAACCTCTGGCACACTCAGCTTCACAGAGGCTTCTGTGGAAGCAATGTGACAACAATCATTCATATGTACCCCATTACACAAAGCACTGTGGTAACTCAAAGGCTACTTAGAGTCCCCTCCAAACCAACTAGCTCTAGAACCTTGAGGTACAAGGGCAGACATGTGGTACACCTTCACCTGCAAGTTCCCTTCCATTCAAGAAGACTGAGTTGTTTCAGTGTTTCTGATCAAAAACCTGGAGACCCTTTCCCATAACTATTGTTGTTGGAACTACATTGTTCTTTGATACAAAGAACGTTACAGAACAGGAACAGGCCCTTTGGCCCTCCAAGCCTGTGCTGATCCAGATCCTCTAAACCTGTTGCCTATTTTCCAAGGATCTGTATCCCTCTGCTCCCTGCCCATTCATATATCTGTCTAGATACATCTTAAAACGATGCTATCGTGCCCGCCTCTACCACCTCCACTGGCAACATGTTCCAGGCACCCACCACCCTCTGTAAAGAACTTTTCCCCTCTCATCTTGAGATGATGACCCCTAGTAATTGAGTCCCCCACTCTGGGGAAAAAGCTTCTTGCTATCCACCCTGTCTATACCTCTGATTTTGTAGACCTCAAATCAGGTTCCCCCCTCAACCTCCATCTTTCTAATGGAAATAATCCTAATCTACTCAACCTCTTCATAGCTAATGCCCTCCATACCAGGCAACATCCTGGTGAACTTCCTCTGCACCCTCTCCAAAGCATCCACATCTTTTTGGTAATGTGACGACCAGAACTGTACACAGTATTCCAAATGTGGTTGAACCAAAGTCCTATACAACTGTAGTAGTTCAAGGAAACAGTTCACCACCACTTTCAAGGGCAGTTACTGATTGATATCGGACATTGGTCTATCCAGTGTACCCAGTGAAAGAAAAGCCATCCCATTGTGGATGGAGGTACAGAAAGTTGCCAGTTTGATATATTTCAACTACATGACCAGCCAACTGGTCAGTTCACTACTTGATGAATAGCTTAATATTCTATTTATAGACTTCCAGCATCCAAACTTTGGAAAAACAGCCCCTTCCCATGAAAAGAGCTGAAATTTTCATCCAAAGGTCTTGAACTTTAACCTCACCTGACCAAAGTGATTTTTTTTCAATTCATGGAACATGGACATTGGTTGGGCCAGTATTTATTGCCCATCCCTAGTTACCCTCAAGAGAGGGAGCTGCTTCCTTGAGCTGCAGCCATGTGTTGTAGCTAGAACTACAGTGCCATTAGTTTGACCACTGTTCTAGCTTACGAGATTCAGCAGCTGTGTCCTGGCTTTACCCCAGTGAAGATCATGGTGTGTGGGTCAGACCTTTCTTTGACCAGAGAACCAAGCTAAAATATCATTAATGCCTCCTTTTAGATTCACAAAATAGCCAGCCTTTTGAACACCCTTATTTTAAACCCAAATAAGTATGTCAACTTATAAACCAAAAAAAACACAGGTTTTCAAAACTGAGCCAACCAAGAACAGGCATTTAAAATTTTTAATATAGGTTAAGTTTGACTCTAATCTCAGATTGACACATTCTCTCAACCTTGATGAAACCACAGGAACATGTTTCTTAAACAAGTGTTTAAAGTTATCCTTGCCTCAGAAGTTGGTAATATTCTTTACTCAGTGCCATTAAAAACAGTCAGTCCATTTGATGGACGTGTCTGGAGGGGTCTGTAAAAGCAAAGTAATTTTAACTGGACCCCAATAGGAATTGGCAGTTTCATTCAGTCCCAATATATAGCTTGGAAGTATTTCCAGTTGGGAAATAGAGGTTGAATTGGGTCAAGATGTTGAGGGAGTGTCTTCAGTTTTGTTCAATTTATTCTAAGGCCAAACAGATGCTTGGTGGGACAGTATCCACAGTTAAACATACTCACTGGGGTCAAACTGGAGTTGGGACCAGTTATCACCTTGCCTATATTAGAGGCCCTTTCAAAAATGTGCTTCATGGATTTTTGTAAACTGACACCTATACCAGAATTAGCTTTGTCACATGTACTCATGCATAGTGAAAATTTAAAAGTCACCATTTACAGCACAATCCTGGATACAGAAGTACTAGGTACAGCTCAAGTACAAGTTTTTAGGGCAAATATTTGGAAAGAGTCCAGCATTACAGATCACAAGATTAAGTTAGAATAAAGAAATAAGTTTAGAATAGTGTTGGTTTCACTTCAGTGCAGAGCACTAGTTGGGAGTTTGGGAGTTCAGGACATTAAGAATAAAAAAAATTTCACAGAAGCAAAAAAGGTTGCAATAGGCAAGCACCAGCTGAGGAGTTCTACTCCACTGCTATCTTGGAGTAGGCAAAATATCTATTTAGTCAGATTCTACTATTTTAAAAAGCAGATTGAAGAGAGGTAAAGTTACCCTAGTCCTACCAGACCACAGGGCTGCTCTCGTTAGATGGGTCAATCTGATAGTTACCATACCTCAGGCAAGGGTGGCACTGAGGAGGAGAGGCCTTCATGGTGAAGTTAGCTGGTGCAGAAATTGAACACTTGCTATTGGATCACTATTACATCTCATTGTCCAGCCATCTGAGCTGGCTGACAGCCCCCACTCACGTACTAAACAATGCTTTAGAGTATCAAAGTGACATTGTTGTTTGTTTCCAAGGTCACCCTCTACCACTGAAAGCAAAAAAAGTGTTCCTTGCCTCATGTCTGAGTCTGTTTCTATGTTAACTCAGTATTTATAATGAGGCAGTTGTGAGCCAGATGGCAAACAAATTGCCTTTTCATCCAGTAATTCATATCCTTATGGTCAATGATAACAGCATGGAGCTGGAGGAACATAGCAGGCCAGGCAGAGGAGCAGAAAAGTTGATATTTCAGGTCAGGAGCTGGTTTTGTAGGGCACCTATGCTCTGGTGTGACAACCACCTTCTGGTCACAAACCATTTTGACTCCCACTCCCTGGGTGAGATGTCCATCCTGGGCCTCCTCCAGTGTCAGTGACACCACCTCAGGAGCCTACAGCCTGATGGCCTTCACATGGTCTTTACTCATTTCAAAAGCTCCCCACCCCCAGCCTCATCCCACATCCAACCCTCCCTCTTATCCCCACCTCCTTGACCTGACAACTTGTCCATCTTCTCTCCCACCTATCCACCCCTCCTGACGACTGCCTACATGCACTCACCTATCACCATCCCACCTACCTTCCCCAGTTACACCCCTCCCCATTTCTGAAAAAGGGTCCCAACTGAAAACGTTAGCTTTCCTGCTCCCCCAGCTCCACACTTCTGACCATCTCAATCCCTTCATTCAGAGGGAGTGTGAGCTCAGCTTTGTCAATACAAAAGTAACTATTTCTGTATGTATGCAATGTTCCATGAAACAATCTGAAAAATATTTTCAATTGCAAGAATTTAGAGAAGGTTTGGGGACAAGTCTCTAGAGGTTCAAATAAATGCAAACTGCATGGTCAGTTAGCCTGAAGAAATAAAGCAAAACATGGAATGGGACATGCAAAAAGTAGTTTAGTTTAAAGAGGAGATACAACTTAATAGCTTTGTCAGTGATGATGCTGCTGTTTATCAATAGGGATCAGGGCAATTTTGCAGCCATTTATTTTAACCTTTGAAAGCTTACCACATTGTAGCAAGTTGATCAGGCTGTAAGCAAGAGTCAGAAGGAATACCAGGAGCTTCATGCTGCCAATTTTCAACCTATAGCATAAAGAGAGGTGTTAGTGGAGATGAACTTCCCCAAACTAACCTATACCTAGCAAGAGACATGAGACCAACGAAGGCTGGGCTGTATACAGCAGAGTGGAGTAGATTAACAGATCACACACAGTCAATGTTAAAAATTCACAAATTTTGTACAACTGAACAATAAATTCAACTATTCGCTGTGCTTTGGTCAGACATTCATCTACAAGAATGGTCTGTCCAACTGACAGCAATAAGTTGGACGATAGTAGCAAGGCCATGTTTATCCTATACTGGAACTGTAGCTGTTCCAGAATGATGTCTCAGGGCCTGGATACTTGTTTTTTCCTCCTGCAAACAGAAAAAATACACAGACTAACAGGAAACAATGAAGGCAAAAACAAGACAGCACTTCTTAGCAGAAATCTCTGGGGGATTATGTCCTAAAAATCAGCCCTTTGTTTGCATTGGTGACTAAGGCAGAGTGCACTGAAAAGTAACAGCAATTAGACAATCTTGTGCTGCAGATCAAGACCAACTTTTGCACACAATGCAAAAAGCCAGGTAAACTAGTGAAATCCCTGTCAAGCAGCACACAAGATCAAAGCCAGGATAAAGCTAACTATGTAGAACAAAAGAATCCTGGTCTACAATTCACTGTCAATATTAGTATCATTTAATCTAACTGCCATATTGTTCCACCATCACTCTTCACTGAAGAGAAACACCAAATCATACTTTCAAAATTTGATAGCTTAACTTGTTTGTAATGTTTAGAAGTCATTTTCTCATCTTCTCACTTAGAACTGAAAACACCTTCTCCAATTAAAGCCTGGTTAAATTTGACTCAAGTGCATTTAGACTGCAAAACATCAAGGGAATGGGTCCTTTCTGAAGTGGCATTGTTACAAACAAAAAAGAAACCCATGGGGGTTTGGGAAAGTGGGTAAAGATGGGGGGAGACAGACCCCCTTCACCCAGGACCTTAGCCAAATGAGACACCCCAAATGGCTATGTAGCCAACCAGGATCCTCATCTAATGATGGATCAGTGCTGCTTTTAGGCTTGAGCCCAGGTTCAACAGGAGTCTTTTTTCCTGGCCTATTCAATAGCATCTGTGTATAGCAAAGCTTCAAGTCAATGCTACCCAAGATTTTGAGCATGTTACATTGACGGAGGACAAAGTAATGGCTGGTGTTTTTTTCAAATTGGAGATGACACTATCAGTGGTCAAGCATTATCCTACATCATGCTTTGTGAACATCTGGGAGTGGGTGGAGACTTAACCTCCACTTACAAGCTCAGTCAGCAAGTAGTCCTTTATGATTAAGAGAGAATTTGAGATAAATCAACCTAAACTGGGTTGGCCAGGGGTATTTTGTTGCAGCATTCTTTTGCATTGTGACAATTGGATCCCCAAAATCTCAGTAACCGTATCCAGATTTTAAAGAAACTTAACTAGAGCTAACACAATAGCTCTAGAAGCTAGTGGGATTTAAACCTGGGCCTTCTGGCCCAGAGATAGGAACATCCCATGAGGGTCTCATTATCTAGTGCAACCTACATCCAATCAGCCATTGATGTTTGCTTCTCAATCACCAAGAGTTCAGGCACCATTACTATTCTTACCTAATGCTGCCATCAGTGCACCTTTGTGGCTCTGCTGAGGTAACAATAGGTTTTTGGAGAGCCGCTCACTGGATACTACCTTCATTTTGACCACTGTCAATTGGTGAGTTACAGTTTACATGGACCAGGCCTTTACAATCCTCCCACTAAAACTGATCAATTATCCACATTTGGGCATATTTAAAAAAAAGCGTTATGCAATGGGTCTTTGCTATGTCCTTTTAAAAACCCAAAAGATCAAATCTCAGCCAGATTCAGTCAAGTGTAAGCCAGTGCTACTCAACCTTGGTTGATTGACAAAGGTGGTTTAAGATGTTCTTTCTTTAAGAGAGGCAAGATATTAACTGGGACATTACCTTCCAGCTGCAGTCAGGCTAACTGAACAGTAGTGGGAGTAAGGAGGAGAACGTTTGTGCATGTGGTGCCAGTCAAGTGGGCTGCTTTCTCCTGGATGGTGTCAAGCTTCTCAGAGCCACAGCCATCCAGGGAACTGGAGAGTATTCCCTCACACTGCTAGTGTGTGCCTTGTCAATGGTGTACAGGCTTTGGGGAAATCAGGTGGAGAGAGTTATTTACTATAGGATCTCTAGCCTGAGCTGATCTTATCAGAACTGTACGGTTAGGCCAGTTTCTGGAAAATGGCAACTCCTAGGATGCTGTAACCAGGGATTCCAATTTAATAGCGAATAGTGGGCAATAGTTAGAATTTCTTGCTGGCAGTGGTGATTAACTGCCATTAGTGTTCATCACTCCAAATGTGGATATCATTCAGGTCTTGCTCTGTGCAAACTGCTGATTGCTTCAGGATCTGAGACATCGTGAATGTACAATTATTCCCAATTCAGATCTCAGAGGGATGTCCTTTTAAAAGAAGCTGAAGATGGTTGGATCTAGGACACTACCCTGAGGAACTACTCTACCTCTGGACCAGGAGTGGCAGGTCCAAGTCCTAACATCTGACAAGATTGGAAAATGTACCAATCAATCAATCTGTTGGACGTTACCAACATCACTTCCAGTTCTACAAAAGGAAGGACTTTCAAACAGACAGATACAACTGTAGAGTATGTAGTGAGGGGAGCTAATGTCATTCGATGACTAGCCCAGTATTCCATGTTAACTTCCTAGGTGCAGAGATTCAAATCCTAGAGTGGCAGATGAAATTTGCCTTCACTTAAGGCTCTTGTGCCACAGTGGAGGAGTCCCTACCTCTGGACTAGGAGTCCCATGTTCAGAGGGGAGTAGTAATAGCTGAATGGTTGATTAAAACCCCTTCCTTAGAAACTCCTGCAGCATTGCTCTTGTGTAAGAGGCATGACTTCAACTATTGAAAAGCTTCTTCCCTCCAGTTTCCAATGACTCCAGTTTCAATCTGGCTTCTTGATGCCATCCTTGTCCCAATATTTGAACCAAAGCTGTAAGGAGATCAGGGGCTGAATGGCTCTGGTAGAACCTAAACTGCACATTGCCATCAAGCAGCACCTGATCATTGTTGATGACACATTCCATCACTTTACTGATGATTGGGAATAGACTGGTAATTGACTGGGTTGGATTCATTGCTTTGTGTGCAGAGGACATACCTGGGTAATTTTTCACATTGCTGCGTAGATGCCAGTGTTGTAACTGCACTGGAACAGGATACTCAGTCTAGCTGCAAATTTTAAAAGTTGTGCTGAGCCTCATGATTTACTCCAACTATCCAATTAAAATCTAAATCCCAAATACCTTGATCAGGTCATCCATTAAAACTTTGTGCCAAAGGGACTTAAGCCTCAACAATGCAACCCATTCTCAATTAGACTCAATTAGAGAAGGCACATTCCATCCACAATGGATCAGCACTGCTCCTCTGAAGTCAGTGCATTCTCTTCCAGGGAGCTCAGAAGAGATGTTAGCACCTCAATGGGGATTCAAATAAAAGACTTCCATCAGTGATAGTAGGAACTGCAGATGCTGGAAAATCTGAGATAACAAGGTGTAGAGATGGATGAACACAGCAGGCCAAGCAGCATCATAGGAGCAGGAAGGCTGATGTTTCAGGCCTAGACCCATCAGAAATGGGAGAGGGGAAAGGGGTTCTGAAATAAATACGGAGAGGCGGATAGAAGATGGATAGAGGAGAAGATAGGTGGAGAGGAAACAGACCGGTCAGAGAGGCAGGGATGGAGCCAGTAAAGGAGAGTGTAGGTGGGGAGGAGATAGGTCAGGTCAAGGAGGTGGGATGAGGCTGGTAGATAGGAGATGGGGGTGTGGCTTGAGGTGGGAGGAGGGGATAGGTGGGAGGAAGGACAGGTTAAGGAGGCAGGGATGAGCTGGGCTGGTTTTGGGATGCAGTAGGGGAGGGGAGATTTTGAAGCTTGTGAAATCCATATTGATAACATTGGGCTGCAGGGTTCCCAAGCGGAATAGGAGTTGTTGTTCCTGCAACCTTTGGGTGGCATTGTTGCAGCACTGCAGGAGGCCCAGGATGGACATGTCGTCTGAGGAATGGAAGGGGGAGTTGAAATGGTTAGTGACTGGAGGTGGAGTTGTTTAGTGCAAACCGAGCATAGGTGTTCTGCAAAGCAGTCCCCAAGCCTCTGCTTGGTTTCCCCGATGTAGAGGAGGCCACAACAGGTACAGCGAATGCAGTATACCACATTAGCAGATGTGCAGGTGAACATCTGCTTGATGTGGAAAGTCTTCTTGGGGCCTGGGATGGGGGTGAGGGGGCAGGTGTAGCACTTCCTACAGTTGCAGGGAAAAGCGCCAGGTGTGGTGGGTCTGGAGGGGAATGTGGAGCAGACAAGGGAGTCAGTGAGAGAGTGGTCCCTCCGGAAAGCAGATAAGGGTGGGGAGGGAAAAATGTCTTTGGTGGTGGGGTTGGATTGCAGATGACTGGAGGTTGGTGGGGTGGTACGCGAGGACGAGGGGGATTTTTTTTGGTTGTTATTGAGGGGCCAGGGTGTGAGGGATGAGTTGCGGGAAATGCAGGAGACATGGTTGAGG